TGACAGTGATTCTTTTGTGTTGTGTTGTATAAAGTTTGCAATTGCTTCTATAAAATTTAATCTCTATAAGAGCAGATTCTGACTGGGTATCAATGTTTAAACTCTGCTTTTCTTCTATAGTCATCGTCCTTGGTCTAAATGGACCATCAGTCTGCCAAATGAAGAGCTTTAATTGGTCAAGACCTGTAGGGTTCAAGATCTAAACTCATTTGAGCGTTACATTCAAGAAGGACGGCAGCCGACAAACATCTTTCCTTAATGAATTTTGGTGGGGAAGCAGCCATAAAACTGTTGATCTGAGACGTGCCAGGTACTCATAAATACCTCCGTGTAGGTAAACAGAGGAGGACAGAATAATGGCCAAGGTCTTGTGGGCAGGAATGGCATCATTTGGCAGATGGGGCAAGGTGATTTCACCAGCTGTTATCGGCTCATTCATTGGTGTGGAGACCAAACATTAGACTTTGGGGCCTGTTGGGGAGAATAAAGCTGGAGTTGAGTTATCGTAGACCACCAAGTGTGAAAGTTAAAGAGCTCCTATTAAGGTTTTTACACTTCTAAACTCTTTCAGTGCAAAATGCTGATGTTTGTGCATGAAACAGATCTTTTTTCGAATTTTGTTTTTGAAGACCCATTGTAGTTTTTCTTCAAGGAACAAACATGTCCCATGCGGTATCTCTAATTAAATAACTTGAATTATTAGAGTAGTAGTATAGAGTTTTGCTTGAGTTTTCATGACTAACACACTGTTTTGCGGGGGGTTTTCAATTTATTTAGATGCCCTAGACCACAGGTGTCAAACTCCGTTCCAAAAGGGCCGCAGCTCTGCACAGTTTAGTTCCAACCCTAATTAAACACACCTGATCAAACTAATTGAGTCCATCAGGCTTGTTTGAAACCTACAGGTAAGTGTGTTGGAGCAGGGTTGGAACTAAACTGTGCAGGGCTTCGGCCCTCCAGGAATTGAGTTTGACACTCCTGCCCTAGACTCTCAAAAGCGTATTTACAATGTAAAAGAAAAAAATATATATATTTGGTTGTCTCAACTTAACATTGTGCCAAATATAAACAAACTCAATGTTTAGTTAATTATTTTTTTAATAAAATAATTCTGACTTCAACTGTACTTCCAAATCAGGTGAACGGTGTAGGAATTGCAACAGTTTGCATATCAGCCTCCCAGTTGTTAAGGGACCAAAAGTAATGGGACAATAGGGTATATGCAGAGCTAGTGTTTTTCCCATACTGATAAACTTCTGGTGACCTGTTATTGTGAACTTTTTTTCCATTACAGTTCCTTTTACAGCATCAATGTTGTAATGTAATTAAAATACATTCAGATAAATAAACTTGAAAAAATCCATTGAATATACTGGGGTAAAACAAATGCTCATATTATAAAGACATGGCGGGAAAAATGTAATTTAATGCAGTGCTTCTTATACAATTTAGAGACCCACTTTATATCAGACATCACTCAGCCATGGAGATCGCTGATTTTTAAAGAAAACAAACCTTAAACGAGCCGATTTTTGCATTGGCATACAGTTCACAGGAAGCACTTAACCCAGGTGCCTAGCAAACTAAAAGTCCTATTAGCATGCTTCGGCATTTACTCTATTGGTTTCTCAACTGTTCAATGGCCAGATGTGTGTAATGGACTTGACTTTATATATATATTATGTATATGTTATAGAAACAAAACTCTATAAAAATAAAGTTACATAGATATTTAAATGTATACCTTTTATCATGTACACATATATTTTATATCTAAATATGAATGAACATTTTCTCAAATATATGCATGGGTGTGTCTATGTATATGTGCACATAAATACATGAACAGTACACACACTTAAATTATGACAAAGCAAACTTTTATTTTGAATGTGATTAATTACTGTTAAATTTTGCCCAGCATTAATTATTTATCATTTTAAAATGCTTTCACACCAAACTATTTTATGAACCCTCTGTCAATTCCCTTGCACCCTCCTAAGGCTGACGAGAGCTAATTTTTAAACCCTCTGGCGTAATATGCACAAAGGCATTTCCTTCCGCAGTTTACATTCACAAATGTAATCAACAATTTGTAAATTTGTGAGCTGATAAGACTTTAAACACAAATGAAAACGAGCATATGTTGTTGCAGAGAAACAGAAGCACAAACTATAAAGACTCCACCCTCTTCTTGAAAGGGGCGGGAGCACCAGCTCATTTGCATTTAAAGAGAAACACAAATAAGCAAGTTTTTGCTCAGCCGCCCCCCAACCCCACAAAAAAGAGGCAGTTTTATCATGTTTAATGAAATTTTCTTTGAATTATTTAAAGCTGATACTTCAGACACATTCTGGAGACACCTGAGATATTACATCTTGTTAAAAGAGTGTAATAGGATCCATTTAGCACATCTCAGATATCGTTATTACGCAGGTTGTATCATTCATGTTTAAAAAGCTTCAGATTGAAGGTTTCAGAATATATGTGGATTGCAAATGAATATGCTTCAGCACTCTGTCAGGTCACGGAGGAAAACAATTAACCAGAAATAGTTGTTTTCATTGTTCACACCCTTAAAAAAGGGGGGAAGGAGCGCAAGGCATGTTATGAATTCTCTGGCAAACATTCTGCCGTAATTAAAGTGGCTGAGTTGCAATTATTAAGACCTTTCTTCCCACTCTTCCCACACGGCGAAAACGAAAAAGATAAAGCAAAAACCCCAGGCCGTTATAATCACAACTTTTCTCAAATATTGAAATTGGCAGTGGGAGAAAGGGGCCGTGGTGAAGCGCGGTGGACAAATGAAAGAATCGGTCGACTCTGAGGATGGCTGTTTTTAATCTCTCACAACAACGACGATCTGGCTCTGCGTTTTAGAGCCGCTTATCTCTGCTCACAGCTCTAATGCAGAGAAGATACGCGTCTGCCGACTTCCACTACTGTATCAGGAGGAACACTAAACCTCTGAGAGTCTACAAACACACTGCGCATGCACTGGAAAGTTGAATAGGTGACGTGTATTTGTAGACACAACTGGGAAAGATGTGAACAACTGCTACTGTGTTAGGGGACAAGAGAGGTCAAAAACACAACTATGACCCCAGTAGACTTCATTAAGTCAACATGAAATTTGAATGATTGGGTTTATAGCTCCTGTTTTACTGTGCATGATTAAGTGGTGTTCTGTAAAAAAAAAAAAATGAAGGGCTGTTTTAAATTCAAATTAAGATCAAATTTGGACAAACCTAACTGTTGTGCAAAATTAAAAACACTTTTTAAAATTGTTGCATCATCTGAAAACACACAATGTGAAGTTTATTTATAAACAAATTTCAAGAGGATGACGTGCTGATCGATTATCCAATCAGATGATTCCTAACTCACTATAAATAACCAGAGTTTACTAATCTCAGTATCTTGTCAAGTGTCTTTCTTTTCCTTTTCATTATTTATGACCTCTTTTAACACATTTTCATCTGTTTTTAATCATTTATATATATTTTTTTCTTATACATGTATTTTTTATATAAAAAAAAAAATATATATATATATATATATATATAAATAGATATACATACAGTTAAAGTCAGAATTATTAGCCCCCTTTGATTTTTTTTTTCATCTTTTTAAAATATATTCCAAATGATGTTTAACAGAGCAAGGACATTTTAACAGTATGTCTGATAATATTTTTTCTTCTCGAGAAAGTCTTATTTGTTTCATTTCGGCTAGAATAAAAGCAGTTATGAATTATTTATGAACTATTTTAGGGACAAAATTATTAGCCCCTTTAAGCTATATTTTTTCTCGATAATCTACAGACAAAACCATTGTTTTACAATAACTTGCCTAATTCCCCTAACCTGCCTAGTTAACTTAATTAATCTAGTTAAGCCTTTAAATGTCACTTTAAGCTGTATAGAAATGTCTTGAAAAATATCTAGTCAAATATTATTTACAGTCATCATGGCAAAGATTAAATAAATCAGTTATTAGAAATGAGTTATTAAAACTATTATGTTTAGAAATGTGTTGAAAAATCTTCTCTCCATTAAACAGAAATTAGGGAAAAAATAAACAAGCGGTCTAATAATTTAGGGGGGCTAATAATTCTGACTTCAACTGTATATATATACATGCATGCATACATACATATATACATACATGCATGCATATACATACATACATACATATACACACACATACATACATATATACATTCATACATACAATTGAACATACATACAATTAGCCCCTCTTTGAATTTTTTTTTGACTTTTTTAAATATTTTCCAAATGATGTTTAACAGAGCAAGGAAAAGTTCACAGTATGTCTGATAATATTTGTTATTCTGGAAAAAGTCTTATTTGTTTTATTTCGGCTAGAATAAAAGCAGTTTTTAATTTTTTAAAAACCATTTTAGGGACAATATTATTAGCCCCTTTAACCTATATTTTTTCGATAGTCTACAGAACAAACCATCGTTATACAATAACTTGCCTAATTTCCCTAGTTAATCTTATAACTAGGGTATAGTTACGCATTTAAATGTTACTTTAAGCTGTATAGAAGTGTCTTAAAAAATATCTAGTAAAATATTATTTACTGTCATCATGGCAAAGATAAAATTATTAGAGAGGAGTTACTAAAATGATTATGTTTACAAATGTGGTGAAAAAATCTTCTCTCCGTTATGTAGTAATTGGGGAAACAATAAAGGAGAGCTAATAATTCAGACTTCAACTGTATTTATAAAATATATAATTTTAAAGAACTTAAAGGACATTTTTAATGATAGAAAAACGCTTGTTTACCAGCCTCAGTGCGGGATCAAACTATCACTCACAAAAATAACCAACAGCAAATCCAACCATCCAATCAATTCCCTATGAAAAAAAAAAATTTCTAAATCAAGGCCTGCCCTAAACATGTTAATGCTTCAGAAGCCATTTCACTACTCTACATGTCACAATAAAAGTGGATTGAACATAAAACAATTAAGTTAAACAAACAGCAAACGTCATTTATTTTTGTTTATGTCAAATCCTTAATCTCTAATATGGAAAAAAACAGAATAAAAGTCAGATTTTTGTTCTAAAAATGTAAGTCAATTAGTGCATAATTGAACATTCTGTAACATTTTAAAAAACTTTTAATACGACACGTATCATCTGGAGACGCATGTTGAAAACTATTTGTTAGTTTGTTTTTATACCCAATTCAGTTCCATCTTCATACTCTCCGAGTGCATTGGACACAGGAGAGCAGGAGAGTCCTGTCACTGTGGCGCTGTGTTTCTGACAGTCTTTAACACTCAGACGGACGAGCAGCGTCTGCAATAGAGCCCCGTGGAGCTCTCAGCATCAGTGTTTCTCTGTCCTGCTCTGAGATCAGCTGGGTGTCAGGTCTTGTCATGATCCGGCACTGGGAATAAACATACGGGCAGAGAAAACAACACAGTCCGTGAGATGTGCCTGCTGTCTGAACCCTGGGTGAGTTTGCAGAGCAGATTAAACACTGGACACCAGTTGTGCAACGGATTCAGGCCGATGAGCTGGAGGATGAGCAATGACTTTACTTTTAGTGGCCTTTAAAACAAAGTTGGGATGAAGCAGAAGTTGTACACTCAGTTTCTTTTATTTATTTTTTGCTGCTCAAAGTACTTAATATGTAATTTTAAATTTAATATAAAATGTAATTGTTTTATGGTCAATCCACTTAAACTTGTTAAAACCATTAGGTTAACTTAACCGATTTGTGTTTGGACAACATGAATGGATTGTATGGAAGCCTGCATTTGTTTTATTTTTTACATTGTATAGTCATTAGATACATAATCTACTTATTTACTTATCATTTGATACAAATAGTATTTATTTCAATAGTCATTATTCTGTTGTCACCTCACCCGTATCAAATTTAAAGTGAAAAAATGAATATTAGCGTTATTATATTATGAATATACAATAAATAATTACAAGAACCTACCGAAAAAAGAACTAGCATTTTTTTTATTGCACACTCACCGGCCACTTTATTAGGTACACCTGTCCATCTGCTCGTTAACGCAAATTTGTAATCAGCCAATCACATGGCAGCAACTCAATGCATTTAGGCATGTGGTCAAGACAATCTGCTGCAGTTCAAACGCACCATGTCATAAAGTGTGAATCATCTCAGGTTGGTTTCTTGAACATGACAATGAGTTCACTGTACTCAAATGGCCTCCACAGTCACCAGACTCAATCTAATAGGGCAGGGGTGTCAAACTCAATTCCTGGAAGGCCGAAGCCCTGCACAGTTTAGTCCCAACCCTGCTCCAACACATTTACCTGTAGGTTTCAAACAAGCCTGAAGGACTCAATTAGTTTGATCAGGTGTGTTTAATTAGGGTTGGAACTAAACTGTGCAGAGCTGCGGCCCTTTTGGAACTGAGTTTGACACCTGTGTAATAGAGCATTTTTGGGATGCGGTGGAACAGGAGATTCACATCATGAATGCATGTAAATATGGACCAAAATATTTCCAGTCCCTTGTTGTACCTACGCCATGAAGGATTAAAGCAATTCTGTAGGCAAAAGGGGTTCAACCCAAAACTAATGAGGTGTACCTAATAAAGTGGCCAGTGAGTGTAGGTACTAGTTTATTTTATAAAGTATTATTATCTAATAAATAAGATACCAATAAATACTAATGAATAAGCACTAGTAGATAATAAATAAGATCTTGCACTTGATACAAAACAGTACACTGGAAAAAAAAATCCATACATTTTTCCGTATTTTGTGATTCCTGTTATTATATATTTTGTTCCACTTTAATTCTGCTTTTGAATTGCATAAAGGCACCTTAATATTTTGTCCGACAACTTTTAACCTTAAAAAGTTTGAAAAGGTGACTTTTATTAACATTTTTAATAGTTTAAAGTGATATATTGTCTGGGTTGGTGTTGTATATTATGCTACAAAAACCTTGTAACACACTTGCCAGTATATTTTCTGCTATTTTACAGACTTGTTTCTCCCATAATGCCATAATTCACAACTATAAATAAACAAAACTGAAGAAACAAACTATTAATTAATTTTTTTTTACAGCACATCTAAAAGAGGGACTAGTAGCATGAGATTAGATGTATGTTTTATTGATACTATGGTTTATTAAATGTTATAACAGCTTGCCGTGCACACAGACAGGCATTCGGCGGTATAAAAGCGCTGAATGAAGAACTGACTGACGACCCGTACTGGACGTGTTGAATCTTGGGTATTTCGTGTTTAATGTTTGCCGTGGATCTGAGATTGGAGATGGATTGCCGTAAATGAGCGCAGGAGGTCAGAGGAAGTTAAGACAAACACACATTCACCATATTCATGCATGCAAATGTTCTGCACATGAAATAACTATTCATAGGAAAGCCCGGGTGAGGCAGGAATATTCAGCATATCAACATTTCTATATGTGTCCCTGAATATCCTCAGCATAATTTATCCTGCTCTTCATGGAGATGTAACCGGAATTAATTGTTAAAGGGAGAGTTCACATTAAAAAAAAAAGAAGTGTGTTGTGTTGTGTCAAATTAATTTAATTATTTTTTTAAATGTGTTTTCTTATATGAATCTTAAGATTTAGGGTTAATCATTCAATAATATTAACAATGAATAACTAAATTTAAATGTAACTGGCTGGGCGGCATAGTGGCTCAGTGGTTAACACTGTCGACTCACAGCAAGGAGGTATATATATATATATATATATATTTATTTATATTTATATATATTTATATATACACATATTAGTGCTGTCAATCGATTAAAAAAATTAACTAATTAATCACACTTTTTTTGAAAATCACTATTAGTATTTCCTATAATATTAATAATATTATCTGATTTGTTTTATTTTTGGCTAGAATAAAAGCAGTTTTTAATTTTTAAAAAAATATTTTAAGGTCTAAATTATTAGTTCCCTTACGCAATAGTTTTTCCCCGATTGTCTACAGAACAAACCATAGTTATCAATGGCTGCATCCGAAATCACATACTTTCATAAAGTAGTTAAAACAGTACTATGTCCAAATTCATAGAAGTATGCTAGAAGTGGCCTACTATTTACGGTGAGATTCTGAAGTGATTCTACGCTATCCATTGAGGCCACGTGAGAGAATTCATGAATAAGAGTGAGGCGATACAACTGACACAGGTGATAATGAGAAATGGTGGATGTACAGTAGTACTTCCAGTACACAGAGTTCTATTCTAGGCCTGGGACGATAACCGGTTTCAAGTTTTACCGTGCTTTCAAAAACTCAAGGTTTAAATACCGCTAAAATGTTCTGTTATACCGTTCCCAAGGTATATGCAAGGTTTTTTATAATGTGTTGTTTATGTGTTTGAAACTAATGAAGAGAGCAGAAGTCAATTAATTATTTTAATTATTTAGCCTGGCATGTTTACTATAGGTGAATTGGGAAAGCCAAATTGTCCGTAGTGTATGTGTGTGAATGAGAGTGTATGAGTGTTTCCCAGTGATGGGTTACAGCTGGAAGAGCATCCGCTGGATAAGTTGGCGATTTATTCCGCTGTGGCGACCACAGATTAAAGAAGAGACTAAGCCGAAAAGAAAATGAACGAATGTTTACTGTTCTGAAATATTATAAATGTTTCTTAAAATAAAATAAAAGTTTTTTGTTTGTTTGTTTTACCCAGGCATTTAAAAAGAACTTACTTTAGAGCAATAATCACAATACCATGATACCGTGGTATTTTTATTCAAGGTTATCAAACCGTCAGAAACTTACACCAGCCCATGCCTATTCCATTCATACTACTCACATTCATACTGTATAGTATGTACTTTTCTAATGGTCGCGTAGTAAATTCATATTTAAATGTAGTACCTATTGAGTAGTAGGCGATTTCGGACACTAATTAACCTAGTTAAGCCTTTAAATGTCACTTTAAGCTGAATACTAGTATCCAAAAAAAAATATCTAGTCAAATATTATTAATGTCATTGTGAAAGAAATCAGTTATTAGAAATGAGTTATTAAAACTATCATATATAGAAATGTGTGAATAAATCTCTCCGTTTAACAGAAATCGGGGTAAAATATACGAGGTGGGTGGGGGGTAATAATTCAAGAGGGCTAATATTTCTGACTTCAACTGTACCTGCAAATAGCTTAGCATGTTTCTTACTGATATATGAACATCTCTGATGTCTTACAAAACCAGAAACGCACAGCAGTCATCAGAAGTGCACCGCTCTCACTTTCACTGTGATTCCAGCACAGTTCATTAGTTCAGATTACATAACTATGCTAATGAGTAAATGGTTTTACCGCTGTAATTACACTACAGGGATTTGCCAGATAAAAAAGAATTCTATAAAACCCAAAGCCACGAAAGTGTAGCATCTGCTCGATGAAATAATTAACCCAAGAGCTTCGTTTTTCGCTGTCGATGTGTCGTCTGAACCTTGAGGGAAAGATGGGAAGGTTCGGCGTCGACCTCAAAGGACTCAAAACCAGACGTTTGTGTTGCTTCCTCCTTTTTTGCACTCTTGTTTGTATTGTCTTTTGGTCGCCCGAAGCCAAAAGTTTGCCAAAGAGGACAACTGAGGCAATGTGCAAAAACACAAACGACATTCAATTTGCAGGGAAAGAGCGTTCCCTGGTCCTTTGTTATCTCTCAGGCGATGTTTTTTCCACTTCATGAATTAGAAGGCAAGTCTTTAAATCAAATCTGTTCTTCCACAGCGACCCTGAGGCTGGAAAATAAGTCTGAGCGTAGCATGTCTGCTAACATATGCTACGTTTGGCTTTGACACAAGCGACAACATCCTCAACATAGTCACAGGCATACATTAAACATCTCAACAAGGTATTTTGCATAAGTTTGGACACTGAAAGACTGATTACCTCAGGTTTTGTTTTGACAGGGGCAGCGTGAAGTTTCCGAATCCATGCATTAGCACTGCTTCCTCAGACTTAGCCATGTTAGACAGTACATCTTTCCTTGACACACCATACTTTATTTTCTGTGGTTTTCGCTCATTTAGAAGCAACCCAAGGGCTATGAAAGTAATTATAAGCAATGATGAAGTCATCCTAGTCCATAAAGTCTCAGAGAGATTCCTTATGAATTAATTGGTTTGTACAGCATTGATACTGGGGTGCTCTTGGGAGCCGGCGTGCACAAAGCAAAGCGTTCACTGCTGCCCTCTTATTATAAAGCCTATAAGCATTTGCTTAATTTTAGATGCAGTATCAGTAATGAATCAGGTTCACATTTCGGTCATTTGGCACCTGACGGACTGCTGGATTTGTTTCAGAATAATAATTGGCCTGGAAAAGCGGAGAGGCGGATGGGGGGGAAATATGCAGTAGGAAAATATGAATTCTGACTTTTGAGTTTGACTTTTGATTTCCCAACTTTTCTCTAACGCCATGACAAAATTGCTTATAGAGGCCACATGATGCTCTTTTAAAAAGGTAATTATTTGGTTCACTGGGTATACTAGATTGCTTTAATGTTAAAAAAAAAAACATTTTTCACATACTGTACATTATAATGACATTTCCTTTTGCACTCATCTCTTTCTGAAACTCTCTGATTGAGCTCCAGAATGTGTTTTACATATATTTTACATATTTTTTGAAGCACAGCATTAAAACTGTTTAAATGAGACATTTAAAAAAGAAAACTGATTAGAATTTGAGAACACTTTTAGAAACCTTCCAGTTACCGGTGTTAATCTTGCACCTGGTAATTTCCTTAAATATCTAACAAACACTTTAGAGTCTAACTTTAAATGGCACCTATGATGAAAATCTTCTTTTGTAAGCTGTTTAGACAGAACTTTGTGTAGGTATATTGTGTCCACATGCATATTGGGGTGATATAAAGACAATAATTCTCTTTTTAAAAACTTCCTAATGTTAAAATAGCATCCAAATCACTCCCATTTTGAGGCCCACCACAACTTGACGTAGGAGTTAGAGCTGTATAATCAGGCCTTAAAAGTTAGGCCGAACAGAATTCGGCCTGAGCTTGACAATTACATTTTGATTGACAGTTTTTTTAAAACCCTAACCTGTTTACAGCCCGACGTGATTCAAATGTGCACATGCACACAGCTCTCCTGCCTTTTTTCAAGAATGAATCGTTTAGGCTCTGAGCACGGGAAGACACCCTAACTCGTGTTATTCCCCTTATCAGGATAAAGAGAGATAGGGTCCGAGTGCAGTGTCTAGCACGGCTCCAGAACGCTCCCACTCAAAATTTAAATAGGTATCTGGTTTAATAGTGTGGAGTTGGGGTGGTGGAGGGACGCTGAAATCTAGAGAAAATGGAGGTATGACGTGTTTGACTATTTAGTGGAGCTAAGCTAAAAGTGCTCAACAGACTTGTTGATTGGCAAAACATACTTAAAAATGCTAAAATTCAACTGTTTAACTCTAGGGGAGTCATACACTCAGTCTATTTTCCAAAAAACTGGAGTGTTCCCTAAAAAAATAAAATAAAAACCAAGTGTTTTTGTGAAGCCTTGTTTTTTTGCACTTGCTTTTCGAAGGGTATTTCTAATATGCCACATAATATTTATGAAAGTTTTCTCTTAGACAGTATAAATCCCCCTTGTGGAAGTCTGAGGGTTTTTTTGTAACTATGCAGATCTTACACATGCACAGAAGATACATTACACACTAAAGGAAAATACAGCCTCTTTAATGAATAAAGGTCCTGATTTCACATTGACTTCAAAAGGGGGGGTGTAAGTACTACAGAAGCAGTTCTTGTGTCATCCATCTCTTTTATCGTGATCTGAATTGCTCTCCGCCTTTGCTTGATCTTTTGTCTTTTATTATTCATCAAAACCCACTTAGATGGACCATAAATTAAATGCACAGACCTTAAATGATTTAAGATGACCAAGATCAAGATTGGGGATGAATCACACGGTTCACCCCAGTGCAGTCAATCAATCAGTCTCTCAACTAATTCTGCTTCAGGACACTGATTTTCACACTGGATGTTAAGTGGTGATTCTCTTTTTGGAGGCAAAATAATCATGATGAAATTTTGAGTTCTGTTTTTCATGTTTCTAAAAGCTGTTCACACACTGCCAATAAAACCACATGAAATGCATAACAAATCGTCCATCAAACCCCTGATTTTGTACATAAAAATTAAAACATTTAAGTGAACTATTTCCAACTATATAGTAACTTTTAACTACAACTGTCCATAACTGGACCACGAATCCTGTCATGCACCACACACACACCTGTTCCAGTTTTCCTTTGATTACACACCGGGAGCTGCTTAAAAACTAAATATACAGCGCACACACACACACACGCATGCACACACACGCACACACTCTGCTGAGTCTTGTTTAGTTTACACCATGTAACATTAGACCCTTACCTTGTTTTATTGTTTATCCTGCCTGCTGCCTGTCTTTGACCATCTGCCTGTTACCTGACGACGCATCCGGATTTCTCTGTATGCATCCTTTTGTTCCTGTTTTGGCCCTTGCCTGTCTGACTGCTGTTTCTAATAAACACTACGTGGATCCTCAACTTCATTGTTCATCGTCCTTCAATTACAATAACAAGCACAGTGCAATTAAATCAATACACATAATTGCTTCATATTAACATAATACACTTTTGTTGGTATGCAAAATAGCATTAATCATTTCACTCACAAACACAGTTTACAAGTTTAATCCCATCTAACTCTTCATATATGTAAAATTACTTTCACAATACTTTCCTTAAAAGTAACTAACACATTTGGTTACTTTTTCGATTGTAATATAATACTTTTTTTGAGCACAGCTCACAAATAATAATTATTTCATCAACCTCAAAACTATAAAGAACGCAATTAAATAGGGATGCACAAGTTCCAATTGCAGGATTTCCAGCGATTTCAAATGAATTTAAACCATTTGGAAACAAGAAATACATTTTTTTACTGCATTTAATTATTTATACATGGAAGACTATACAGTGGAGTTTTACATTTGTTACATTGATTAAATAACACCTTTAACAACTATAGTGTGATGCGATCAAACGGTACATCCTTAATAAACTGTGCGACGTGCACTGCTCTCTGGGGTTGTGCTCAAAACACCCGCTGACTGCCTGGAGCTCAGATGCATGCATACGCTGCAGTGCATGACAGAGTGTATGTGTGTATGTGTGTGTGGATTGGGTCACGCGATGTTCATTTTCAGCAGTATAGTGTGGACGGAGATATTTTCAGAAATGCTAGATAAAACGCCAGTGTGGACGTGAATCGTTTTCATTCTAAAATGCTAAGACATATTAGTGCAAACGGGGCCCGAGTGTGTATTTTTCGTGAGCGGGTTGCTGCTGCGACGGGGGTGGGGTGGAGGATCGCAATGCCAGCTCAGCATCATGATATCTATCAGCCATCGGCAATGGACGATGGCATCGTCTATTGACCCAACACTAATTCCAGCCACAACCCAGTACTGAGAAACACCCATACACTCTCACATTCACACACATTCGTACACAATGGTCAATTTAGTTTACCCAATACACCTATAACGCATACGTATGGACTGTGGGGGAAACCAGAGCACACGGAGGAAACCCACAACAATACGGAGAGAACATCGAAACTACACACAGAAACGTTAACTGGCCCAGCCGGGACTCAAACCAGCAACCTTCTTGCTTTGAGATGACAGTGCTAACCACTAAGCCACCATGCTGCTGGTACTTCAACTAAAGCATTACAAAAAAAAAAAAAAAACATGCAAAGACATAAACCTAGTTTGTCAAGATGCATAAATGATGTGAAGTTGACTACTTAGGGTTAGTGGGCTTCTGTTTATGTTTTGAATATTATCTCCATAAGTGTAATAAGTGCATGTTATCAGCCAGTTATGAGCAGGCACAAATGTGCAGCGGCTCCAGTGTGGTCTCCTCTGAACAGATGTGGACACAGACGCCTTTAACACGAGTCAAAAGGACAGGCTCTTTCTTCTCCCTCCTCTCTGTGACTCACAATACCTTTCACTGCGCTCCTGCTCCCATCCATTTTTCAGGGCTGGCAGAGCTGGCGCGAACCGGGCCTTGATGGACAGCCCGCAGCTCAGGACCCAACATTACCCGCTCCCTTTCTCCTGGAGCCTGGTGGAGGGAAGATAATTGACAGCGAGCTCTTTTCATTTTTTTTCTCCTGCACATGCTTTTTTTTTTTCTCCCCACACTTCTTCTTCTACATCCTCTGGTGGAATAAAAGTGTGCCTATCGAAATCCCAGCAGAGACCGCTTGTTATCTACTAACAAGATATCTTAACTGTGGGTTGAGTGCTGTGAGGACGACTATATGGCAAGCTGTTTTTGCATTCAAATATATATGTGGCGAGGCAGTGGCGCAATAGGTAGTGCTGTCGCCTCACAGCAAAAAGGTCGCTGGTTCGAGCCTCGGCTCAGTTGGTGTTTCTGTGTGGAGTTTGCATGTTCTCCCTGCCTTCGCGTGGGTTTCCTCCGGGTGCTCCGGTTTCCCCCACAGTCCAAAGACATGCGGTACAGGTGAATTGGATAGGCTAAATTGTCCGAAGTGTGTGTGTGGATGTTTCCCAGAGATGGGTTGCGGCTGGAAGGGCATCCGCTGCGTAAAAACTTGCTGGATAAGTTGGCGGTTCATTCCGCTGTGGTGACTCAGGATTAATAAAGGGACTAAGCCTAAATTATTACATTATATTTACCAGAAATAATATTGTAATAATGTTCGTTTCGTGGGAAGAAGAAGGCAGGGTCGGCGATATCAGGTAAGCACAATTTTTATTTATAATTCTCTGTGTGTGTGTGTGCATGTCGAGTCTGGATGTTGACAGGCTCTCTTCTCTCTCGGCTTCTCCTTCTCCTCCCCTTATGAAGGTGTCTCTCCGGCCCAATCACTAGAAAACACAGGTGTTAATAATTATGATTAGACCACTGACCAGCCGCCGGTGTCTCCGCCTGCTCTCCCCCCTTTCTGGGTGTTCGATCACGCCTTCCCCACCACAAATATATTTTAACATTTCTAAACATAATTGTTTTAATAACTAAATACTAATTACTGGTTTATTTTTTTTCAATCTTTGCCATGATGACAGCACATAATATTTTAGATATTTTTCAAGATACTAGTATTCAGCTTTAAGTGACATTTAAAGGCTTAACTATGCTAATTACGGGCCGATTGCAATGAACGCGCTTTTACATTCCAAAAATGCGAGGTGCACCATACTGCCTTTTTTGTTGACAAGAAAAAAAGAATAAGCACGGTGCGCCTTTTAGATCGCAACACAATGACTTAAAAAGTTGGGTATTATGCAAACTGTTGCTGATGATACTGATATCATATTTAATAATATTGTAAAATTCCAGATTTGTGAGTCATACAGCGCTACACAACTCAGAACAGCAACCACTTGTCTCTTCTCCATCTTCAAAAGTCTATGTTGTTGTCTTGACAACACAAACACTGCAGGCACTTCAATGGATACCCCACCTCTGCTTTCATTTGATTAGAAAATGAAACAGACGCGACTGACGTAACATGCATTTTCCTCTAAGAGTTGACGTTTTTCAACTGCAAGCGCACAGCATGCAACACCAAAAATGGGAGGTGCAGCAGGCGGTTAAAATGTGAGGCGTGGAGGGCGCATAAGCAGCGTGCAAAATGCTCACGGTAAACCATTCAAAATAGGCACCTTTCAAAGCAATAAAGCACGTTCAGTCTGATTGACCCCTAAAGGGGGTCGCACACCAGAAGCGCCACTCAGCGACGTACCACATTGCACCATGCAACCCCATGTGTTTCAGAATTGTAAACATAGGTAGGTAGTGCTGTCACCTCATACTGTATATAAAGTTAAAAAAAAATCTGGAATTTTATGTTTGTTTGTTTTTTTCTGGCAGCTGAAGTGACGCAAAAAAATTTAAAAATAACGGCCAGTAAATTAAAGAAATTTACAGTAAAATAAAAGGCATTTTATTACAGAAATTTCCTCAAATTTAAATTTCTAGTGAATTTCTGTAACTAATTACAGACCTATGTTTACAATTTAAAAATTGTAAAAATTTAAAAAAGAAAAAAATATTCACAAGAGGGATAATAGTTTTGACTTAAACTGGAATTCACATTTTAACTATATTGTAAACTGAATAGTATAAACATATACAAGTGTTCATATCCTGAGACTAAGTAATGCCAAGTTGAGAAATCACAAACCAAAGCCTGTCTGCTGTCTGTCTGTCAGCTGTCTGTGATTCAAATCATGGCATGTGAAATGTTATCTGATGGAAAATAACATCAGCGATCACCTACAGCCAATGAGAAAGCAGCATTCACTAATGTGGGTATCTGCTGGGCAGCGGGAGGTTGAGGAGAAATGAACAGAGCTTCTTTTTAGCCTATTTGGACCCAAGAAATGAAGTTAAAACTAGTGTAAATTTGGCAGGAACACCCGTGTCTGTTCGATGTGTCATCTGACTAATACCACAACCAGGTCGAAAGAGAAAAAAAGTTCTGAAAAATTGCTAATTTTCTTCAAAACCCAAGTTAGCAAAATAAGTAGAATTTCTACCTTACTGCAGGATTCTTTCTCATATTGTAGTTAATAACAAAAGATATACTATGTGACCACTCGTTGTTTACATATCACTTCTCACGTCTGTTTGGTTGCGAGATGTAGTTTGTGGACCAAGACATAGTTGTTGGCGGTTCTCCTATTGTAAAGTCATGCAGTGTGAACCACCCTGTCCTGATCCAACTTGCAGTGTAAACACAGCAGGGACGAAACGCTAGCCCAGATGGTCTTGCAGTGCGAAAACATCTGTAACATCACTACTTTTTTAAATCGTGCAGTCTGAACTTGATATATAAGAGAGAAAGCAGCTTGCCATAGTGGGGGAAAAACATTAAGATGTCTCAGTCTGGGCTCCGGCTGTCTGCTATGGAGATGGAGTTGTGCCCTGATGCATTGCGCACACGTCTGACAGACGGCTGAAAGGCAACGAGGGAGATTTGAGCTTTTATTGGGTCGCAGTTTGCCGGTCGGTCATCGCAAACTGTAATTAAAAGTCCAAGCAGAATGGCACGCAAGTCATTCAGTCTCCATTCAGCTATCGCTCTATAATTTAGCATCTCGTTACAGCACTGAAACGGTGCTAGACATATGATACTATGTTCTGTGTGACGGCAGAAAGGTGTCCGTCTGTGGAAACAACTTATTTAGGTACAGTGTATAACTAAGTTTAGTGTTCACTTTTTGCTGCCAGTTAATTAAATTTGAGTTGTGTAATATTTAGCTCTTTTTGTTGTTGTTGTTCAAGTTGTTACTGAAAAAAATTTATTGTATTTACAAAATGTAAGCTAATGTTCAGCTTACTTTCTTTGCTTGTTTGTTTAAATTAAGCCCATATAAATTGTTTGCAACCACTTACCTTAAAAATTTTATTAAATGCAATGAATCGTTTTTTTCAGCGTATGATGT